GGCAATGAGATTGGCACAGGATAGAGCACGGTTTAGGGCTGTTGTACATAGGGTCGCTATGAGTCGCAAACGACTCAACGGCACATAACAACAATGACAACAACAACTCTCTCTGTATTTTTATTAGTCACAGTTCATCTTTTAAAAAATTATGCTTGTGACAATTAGTGTGACAATGTCACACACACTGTCCCACCATTGGCCACTTAGTACATTTTGAAGATAATTCCAAATCAGACCATAAAGAGCTTCTTTAATCAATCCAGCCAGCCCATCTTGACAAAACACTGAGAGTCTTTACTATAGGGTCTTTCCTATTGCAAGCAAAGCTGTAATGAAATAACCAGAGTCATTTAGGGACAGACAGGTGCAGAGGCACAAGGATGCTCTAGATAGGACAGGATCTGCGGGGACCAGGCCTGAGTACCTATGCCCAGCCACGCCTAGCCCATCTTCTCGAGCTCTATGTACATCAGGCCTCCTCTTCCTCCTGTCTCTTTCTCTCCATCCGGAGCTCCTGGTAGTGCCAGACAGGAGGGGCCAACCTGCGGTGCCCTACAGGCTTGGGGTCAGGCCTGTGACAGCTGAAGGACCAGGGTGCCCTGGAGAGGAGGATTTTAGGAGCTGGAGGACTGGCACTGTCTCTAGGCCGTAGCCACTGAGGGTACAGGCTCAACATGCCCTGAGGCCTCTGATAGGGGATGAGGGCTCGGGGACTAGGGACTACTGGGGAGGACTGGGGGTTCAGGGGAGGGGGTGGGGCAGTGCCTAACAGTTCTGGTACAGACATACTCCGGGTGCCAAGTGCAGGTGGGCAATCAGGGCACAGTGTACGGCAGGCAGTGGTGAGGAACGGACTGGCCAGGCTGGTTGTGATGGTCACAAAGTGATCCATGACACCTCCCTCCTCAGGATCCCGGGGGAAGGGGAAGCTCAAGGTGGCTTGCAGTCTCTCCAGCAGGGAGGGGGGAGTCTGGGCCTGGGCCACGAGCTTGGACAAGGCTGGCCATTCGGGCTGGTAGTGCTGGCTGAGTTGCTCGGCTCGGGGCCGCCGCAGCAGCTTCCGGATCCTGCACACGGTGTTGAAGCTGTCTGTCAGCACAGCCCACTCTAAGGCTGTCTTGCTTCGAGCGGGGTCCACTGCGGTCAGGTCAGCACCTGGGAAGGAGCAAGGGAGTTGCTTGAGGTGGGGTAGGGACTGGAGGAGGGTATGTTGTTGGGTGCCGCCAAGTCAAGTACAACTTATAGTGTGAACAACCCTATGAATAACAACAGATTTGACTCCTGTCCTCTCCTGTGGCATCCTCACAAACTCTGACACACTCAAGCCCATTGCCACAGTCAGTGTGTCAATCCACTTGGTTGAGGGTCTTCTCTCACCATCCTTCCATTGTCCCAAGCACGCTATCCCTTTCCAATGAATAGCCTCTCCTAGCAACATGCCCAAAGTATGTGAGATGAAGTTATATCATCTTTGCTTCTAAGGAGAACTCTGGCTGCACCTTCCCTAAGACGTATTTGTTTTCTTTTGGCTGTTCATGGGATATCCAGTACTCTTCTTCAAAACCACAGTTCAAAAGCATCAATTCTTCTTCTGTTATTCTTAGTCACTGTCCAGCTCTCAGCAGCATAGCAAGTGACTGAAAAGACCATGGTCTGAATAAGATGTACCTTAGTCCTCAAATAACATTGTTTGATGTTGGTTGCCTTCAAGTCGAGCACAACTCATAACAACCCTATGAACAAAAGGCCTGAAGCCCCTCTACAACTATAGACATTTTTCAAAGTTCATAGTTTCCGGAGGCATGCTATTTAGGAAGTGGATACCACTCCTGCTTCCAACAAACTAACATTATTGCTCCTCAATTATTTGGAGAGGTCACTGACTGCAGACTTCTCCAGTGCAATATGTCTCCTGGTCTCTTGAGTATACCAAATGATTTCATGGTGGGTTAGGGGCACAGTATAAGGGGTGGATTTTATAGCAGTAGGATTGAATTGGTTAGATTTATTAAGCATAGAGTCTCACCCCATTGAAGGTGGAATCCAGGAGCCTCCTGTATAAGAAGTGATGAGACTGAAGCCCAGAGAGAGAGAAGAGGGACTTCAAAGACCCTTTGGAGAGGTGTCCAAGACTGACTCCCAGAAACTGGCCTGAGGGGCGGTATGTGGCCTGAGGCTTGGGAGGAGGCCAGCTTGCACCCCCAGGGATTAGTAGGTTTCTGTGGGCTGCCTTTCCTAGTTCTCTTTATCACCACTCCTATGTAATCTTGGGGGGAGGTGGCTCACTTTGAGCCAAAGAAGAAGGTGTAGAGCCTTACTTCTCACCCAAATCCAGCTTGGTGGGATGAGGATGGGGAAAGCCAAAGATGGGTCCCCCTAGAGTGAATAGTGGCTCCACTTCCGAGTAGAACCAGGACTGAACATCTATGGACTGTGGGGGCCTCATCCCAGAAATCACTTACCTCAACTACACATCACTTTGTCCCCTGAGCCCTGACTTGGCAAAGCTGCGAGCTGTTCCCTGAGGCCAACATTCTCATGCCAACAAGAAGGCCCAGTGAGAGGAGCTTCCTCCTCAGAATCAACGTGAGTGGCAGGGCCAGGACTAGAACCTGAGGGTCTGCATCCAGCAACTAACTCTTTTTTGTTTTATGCTTTCTTGACAGTCAAAGTTATCCTCTCCAGCTTTCCTTTCTGGGATTGTCATTGATAGTGTTAAGAGATCTGGTCTTCATTGATCATGAGAAGCCAAAAGCATGTGCCCCTCCTCCAGGAAGTCGGCCTAGATTGTCACACCATACTCCACCTCCTCCCCTCAGCTCTCTGCAACTTTAACAGCTGACCTGGTATTCAAGGGAGAGACAGGAGAGCCGGGCCCACCAACCTGCCATGAGAAGGGCAGCCACACACTCAGCACGGTCCCGCATGGCGGCCTTCATCAGAGCCGTGAGCCCCCGCTGGTCCCGCCGCTCCAGATCCAGGCCTGCATAGTAGTTGATCAGAAGACTCACCAGGGAAACGTGACCTGCAGGGCACCGGGGCACCATGACTCCCCTGGAAACAGGGGTGGTGAAGCCTCAAACTAGCCTTCCACCAACCACACAAAGCACACAAAGGGTATGATGTTGTGCCCTGGCTGGGTGGGGTGGAGGGGGAGCAGTCTCACACCTGCTTGGACAGCCAGCATGAGGGCTGTGTCCCCTTCTTTGTCCTGCTGGTTCACATCGAGGAATGGGCAGCGGCTGAGCAGGGCCACGATGCTCTCGAAGCCGTGATAGCAGGCAACCATGAGGCCTGTCTGAGGGAGGGGGAAGCTCAGTCCCTGGGGACCTTGTGACCTCCATACCCACAATTGCACCCGCCCCTGTGTTTGAGGGCCCAGCAGAAGGAGCTGTCCAGGAAGCCAGACTGAGATGGTGCAGTGGGGACAAAGAGCTTCCTTGCTGTCCCAGGAAACACTGGGGATGTCTCACCCTCCCATTGCTGTCCACCTGGGTGGCCTCCTCTGGGGTGACTCCACCATCCAGCACTGCTTGGAGCCGTGCAGGGTCATTCCTGGCGCAGGCCCAATATAGGGCCTTGAGGCTGCAGCCTGGGACAAGGGCCTCATTGCCAGGACAGGATGGAGCCTCGGCCACAGCCAGGTCCTCCCTGGTCTCCGTAAGGGCCTCTTCTCCCTCAGCCAGAGAGCAAGCAGGTGCCTGCCTCCTCATGCAGGCAGCATCTACAATACAAAACAGAGGGGAAAGTGGCTCCTCCAGACCCAGGAAGAGGTCCCGGCAGCTGCCAATAGCCCAGGCCTTTGCCTCAGACGCCCTGGTGCGGCAGAGGTTAAGCGCTCAGCCCTTAAACAAAAGTTCAATGGTTGGAGCCCACCAGCAGCTCTTTGGAAGCAAGAAGAGGCAGACTGCTTGGGAAAATTCCCAGGCCTAGAACCCTGAAGGAGCTGTTCTGCTCATAGGATCACTGAGAGTTGGAATCCAGGCAGTGGAGTTAATCTTTTAAGGAAGTCCTTGAAGGCGATCTCGTGGTGCAGTGGTTCAAGTGCTCGACAGCAGACCCAAACAGCTCACTGGGAAGAAGTCTGAGGTTTGGGGCCTGGGGAAACCTCTTCCTCTTACTGTCTCTTCCCGGAGAGGACAAGCTGTGTCCTGGGAGGGTGGGCCAGGGCCTTAAGAGGGCAGTGCAAGTCCACTCTAAGTTAGATTGAAGAATGTAATTCGCTTTCTCCTTTCTGGTGAACCTTACCTGGGGCCGGAGGATCCCTGCACAGCAGTGCTCCCTGCGGGGTCACAGCCTGGCCCCCCAATTCTCCCCACCCACCGGTGCACACTCACCACGTCTCTGGAGGGCGCGGAGTGGACCACCCTTCCCCAGGAATAAAGAAGGTAACAGATGGTGGGCTTAGGACAGAGTTGCTGCAAACACCTCGGAGCTGAGCTGGATCAAGTCAGAATAGAAAGGGATTGGGGGTCAGGCGGGGGCGGTGCCCTCCTTTCAGGAGCTTCCCAGAGTGGGCGGGGCTGAGTTGAGGCAGCTCCTCCCTGGGGGGCTGCTGGCTGACATCCTCCTATCGTGCTCTGGAAGGCGAGCTGCATCCAGAAACAGAGCCTTGGAAGACAGGAGAGAGTTACAGGGTGTTGGCCCCCAGCTCCGAAAACCTGACGTCTTTTCCCACTGACTTGGTGCAGAAGGTGAGGGTATGACGATGGAGACAGAATTCCAGAGACCCAGGGGTCTAATTAAATAGGATTGAGACTCTCAGAATGACTGTGGAAGGGGCCTTCGTGAATGGTTTTACATTCTGAGGATAATAAAATATACAAGATTTCCAAATTAGCAGTACAGAAACTTCATGCAACTGGTTTTGGTCCTAAGCTGTAGAAAATTAAGCCATTCTTTTTGCTCCTTCTCTGTTTTTTTCCTAATTTAGTTTTTCTCTTTAACTTCTGATCTCCATACCCCATTCTCTTCCTCCTTTCCTTTCCTTTACCAACTGGCACCTACCTATATATGTCCTTGAAGATGTACATTTTATTGAGAAGTGCACTGTTGATTTGTGTATGTGGTTTTGACTCCTTAGCTACTGTCAAGTCAAGCTTGGCTTGTGACAGACCCATACATAGCCCTTCTTGGTCTGAAATGCCACTGGAAACCTGTTCACCAAACTTGTAGCTGCATGCAAACCTCCACTGGTCGTGGAGTGGCTGTTCCTGAGGAGTGCTCATCAGGAATCAATCTAGACATCCCACGTGGAAGATGGGCATTTGACCACTGAATCACCACAGCATATATGTGGTGACGTGGGCAGTGGACCTCATTCTATTGGCTTTTTCACTCAATGCTGAGCTGCATCATGTACACCATATCAGATAGGAGTGCTGAAGCAAAAGCTGGTCCCCATGGGGTGGTGGCTACCATAGGCCGCTCAACCTCAATCCAAAATTCCTATTAGTATTTCTGAAGTGCAGGGGTCAGGTAAAACTACAATTCCCAGATTCCCTTGAGCCTAGATACTATAGTTTAAGGCCTGCCAAAGAGATGTTCTTGTGGAAGACATAAATTTGGAACTAAGCTATCACAGAACATCCATTTTGCTGTCACAGATCAAAGCAAAAGGAGGGGGGGCATGGGCTGAGCAAATCTCTGACTTAACAGCTTCCTGTAGTGGCTGCTGTTCTCCCAGTCACAAGTAGATGTCTCAAGATTCTTAAAGCTGGAAGTTGCTCTCGTACCTGGAGCCTGCTTCTCCATGCCTTTCTGTTTAAACTAGCCAGATTTGTTTCTGGTGTCTACCACTGAACCCCAACTGATTGAAGGAGTCTCTTGTTCACAAGTCAAGAAGCTCAGGGGCAGAAGACAGTGTTGGTTTCCTTCTCTGTAAGGCTCTTGACTTTTCTTCATGTTTACAAGATGGCTGTTATACCTCCAGCCATCACATCCATATTCCAGGAAGAAGAGAAAAGGGGAAAAAGAGGTACTGCATTTTCAGTCAAGAAATTAAAGACTTTCTTAGGATCCCAATTCATCAAACTTTTGTTTTCATTTCATTGGCCAGAAAAGTATTACAGCTTATACCTAACTGAAAAGTGGCTAGAGAAAAAAGGAGTTGCAGGCAGGAATTACGTCAATTAGTCAGTGATATCTGATACATAATATAGTCTTTTTTTTTCCTAACTGCTGCATATAATTCTATAGTGTATCTACCACAATTTACTAACCTATTTTTCCCAGGGATGGTCACATAGATGGGTTCCTATTCATGTCATTACATGTTTATATGTATCTGCTTACAGACCTGTGAAAAATATCCCTGAGATGGCTGGGTTTGAGGACACATATCTGCTTTTTCTTAAAAAAAAAATATTTTTTTGTGTGTGTGTACCATCAAATCAGATCTGACTGGTACAGAAGGAGATTGCCCCTCCTTCTCCAGCAGAGCATTTGGTAGATTCGAATCATGTGCATCTGGGATTACAGTGCAGCTTCTTGCCACTAGGCCACCAGAGCTCCACACACCTGCTTATTGATTAGAATAGTAATACTACTTTCTATTGAGATCCCCCATACCCTTGCCAGGACTTGATTTTTCAGCCTTCTGATTTCTGCTCATCTTCTAATTTTGTACTACCAAGTAACACTAAAATAATCATGTGACTATTTTACAGTGGATTCAAGGTGAGCATTTTTCCAAGTACTCACCACTCTTCTCCCCCTTTCTGCGAGCTAACTGTTCATAGCCTTTGCCGATGTTTTAATGCATTTTCCTCTTTTTCTTAGTGATTTCTCAGCAATTATTTCTAATATCCTAGAAATAAACCCATTGTTCAGTAGTTCTCTTTATAATTTTTACTTCTGTGCCTTGTTTAAGAAGATTCTCCAAGGTCATAAAGATCTGAATTTATTTTATTAATTTTTCACCTTTATTTTTAATATTTAATCTTTCCTTTGTCTGGGCTTAACATTTACATTTGCTGTGAGGAAAGAGCCCAATGTTCTTTTTCTCCATTTAGTGAGCCGAACTGCTAACCAGTTCTTTTCCCTTTGCTTTGTGATGTCATGTTTATCAGATGTAAACTACATGCTCTTTTTAAGTTCCATCATTTTATTTTGTTTCTGTGCTGATGCCACACACAATGACTGTATCATTCTAGCTTTGTAGTCTGTCTGTCTATCTAATGAGATGAGTTCTCCTTACTTGATCATCTTTTTCAACATTGATTTTTATTGTTTTATATAAAGTTGTAAACATGTTTATTGAATTCTTAAAATTTTTGCTGGCATCTTGATAGAAGTGGCTTTGAATATCTAGACTCATTTGGAGAAAATGGACTGCCTCTCAGCATGAAATCTCCTCCACGCAGGCGTGGAGATCCAGCTTCTTAGGGACATCTTTTATTAGAGTCTTCTCCATCACTGTCACAGACAAAGGCTGTAGGATCTGAAGCTCAAGTTTACTGAGTTCAACAAACGTCCTCAAATAAAGGCTTCCTTTCTTGTCTGAATTCAATCTTAGATTTCAACGCAATGAATCCTTGCTATCTGGCTAGCTGTTCTGTGCTTTTAAAATAATCTGAAATTATATTTTAACAAGCATTTTTCACTCAGAAAGTTTAGTCCAAAATCAAGCCAGTTATATATTGGAAATAGTACTTCCTCTAATCCTAACCAATTCAAAAACAACTCAATAGGAATATGGGCAAAAGACACAGAGAATTAATTCACAAAAGAAATATAAATAGTCAATAAATATCTAAAAGATATATATAACCTTACAAGTAAGCAGAAAAAGAAAATTAAAACAGTAATGAAATAATACTTTTGGTCCATCCATTTAAGTGTCTCCACTGAAAGGAGAATGCAAATTAGTGAAGTATTTTTGGAAAGTATTTTGACAATATCTATCAAAATAAAAAATGTACACACATATTGACCCAGAAATTATTTTAGAATCTCCCCCAAACAATATTTACATACATACACAGTGATGTCCTGCATATATCTTAAAACATTGTATGTGATAGCAATAAAATGAAAAAATAGAAACAACTTTTTATCATGGCTCAAGATGGGTTAGTAAGAAGACACAAACATGGAATATCCTGACACTATCTCCAGAATGTGTTAATTGGAGAGAAAAAAGCCACACATACACACCCCCGTACACACCCCTATACACATATGTAGGAAGTTCTGTTGACCTGCTGATAAGAAACTACACTGCAGTCCCAAAGGTTTACAGTTCAGATCCACCAGTTACTTGAGGCAGAAAGATGGGCAATCTCTTCCCATGTGATTTACTGCCTCTAAAAACCCACCGGAAGGTCATCTTTGGGTTGGTCTGACTCAACAGAACACAACTGATAACCTAGTGGTAAGAAGGTGTACTGCAGAATCAAAGGTATGTGGTTCAAATCTAACGGTTGCTCTTTGGAAGAAGGAGGGGTAATCTGTGTGCAATTTACTGGCTCTGAAAACCTACTGGAGGGTCAGCTATGAGTTGGTTCTGATTTGACAGCATGCAACAACATACACATGTATAGGGAGCTTTCTATGGATCAGGGAGCTGGACAATGAAGGATGATAGAAGAAGAATTGATGCCTTTGAGTTGTGCTAGAGAAAAATGCTGAA